AAGCCCCCACCGTCCACAGTATGGTCCAACTTTGGTTGCTGGTGATCTACTGCCCGATTTTATATTGTATTGTTGTCTAATAATCTTCTATTTGAAAATGATCTTAGACAAGTTTTAATTGTAATCTGTGATAGTCTAATGTTATACTGTCCTTCGATGACAACCTTTTGAAAAGTGTAAATATATTAATACTCAGTATATGACCTTTGTCGTCACGATATGACTGCAATTTTGCCGATGTGACGTAAACGTTTAACTCACTCACTCACTGATTTGATGCAGTCCCCGAAAACAAAGAAACTGTTTTGCGTTAGTTGAGTCTATTTGGACTTGCTGGTGAAGTCAGTGATGTTTGACACGGGTGAATAGAGCTCTTGGCCACAACAACGATAACTCACAAGATGTCCGTTATGAATTACTTATGTTTGAATGACAAAATGCTACAGTTATATACTCAATAATGCTTTCTCAATACACTACGATGTACAATGAGTGAAACCAATTTCTGGTATCTGAGTGAGTGAGTTAATATTTATCGTCACATCGGCAATATTTCAGCCATATGGTGAAGAGAACAAATTAATAATTATGTTAGAGATCAATAAAATAAGGGAAAAAAGCCTGTTGACGAAGAACAGTAAAACTACTAGTGTATCACAGATATGCATTTAAAACTAGTAATTAAATACAAAACATTTTAACTAGAAATGACTAGACAATGTAAAAACAGGCTATATATAGTGAAGGTTGATCACTATACTAGGTATCATGGGGACTTACTTCTGGTATCTGATCGACCTGTGGGGGACGGATTCGACACTAAATGATTATTCAGTATGGTGAAATTTATAAAGTGAGTAAGTGAGGTTTTACATAACTTTTTGCAACATTCTAGCAATATCACGGCGGGAGATACCAGAAATTGGCTTCGCACACTGTACCCTTGCGGGAAGTCGAACCCGAGTTATAGGCTACACGCTTTCACCACTAATCTACCCCACCGATCCGTGGAAGTAAAAAAAGGTTTTATTGTTAAACAACCTATAATTCGGATAGTCTTTGAGTACCGGCGACTGGGTGCCTGACTCTGAGAGCGTTGGCTCGAAGCTGAGCGTGTTAAGTTTTGATTTTACGACGAAATTGTTATCTGTATGTTATACTAGATTAACTGAAAGATTTTATGTCGTTTTCATTCATAAACCAGTATTCTTGTGACTCTCTTTGAGAGCTTGAGCTCGAAATCTGAGTGTTGAGTTTGTACTTGTAGACGAAATTGTAATCATAACATAATATCGGTAACCTTTTGAAAGATTTTTCATCGCTTTCGTCAGTATTCTAGTTTATGGGAAAACACACTGTGAATCTAGAAATGAACGCGCAAGTGAACAAAATAGGATAAATGCAAGCGGTCTTTGCTGCAGTCTGTTATTCTCGCTTCCAGTTAACTTCGCAATGATTTAACATGATGACTATTGAGGTGGCAATTTTGGTACAGATTTTGGAAAGTTGACAATACCAACTTGAATAAAGAAACAAAGAACTCCGTTGGTATATATGTGACCAGATAGCTGAAATACCAACTGGGAAAATAAACAAAAGAACTCTCTACTCCAGGGTGTTGAGACTGTAGATTAACATCAAATGAGCATATGCGCGATGGACATCTAAAATGCCAATAACATAACATATCAAACATCATTTGATTCTATGTTTAGACTATTTAGATTACAAAAACAGACTGTAGGATTAACATCAAATAGCATATTCTAAAATGCCAATCAAACATCTTTCAGACTATAGAGGTTGGCTACCAAGAAATGAGGCGATCACCAACAAATGAAGGTGTAGATCTTGTGCATTTGCTTACTTCAGTGGTTCAAGATACGGCTGTCACCTATGTGCAGCAAAACATTAGTATTTCAGCACATGGAATAGGTACAACATGACACAGGACATGGAGTGAGTGAGTGAGTTGGGCTTTACGCCGCTTTTAGCACTATTCCAGCAATATCACGGCGGGGGAACACATGTAATGGGCTTCACACATTGTACCCATGTGGGGAATCGAACCCGGGTCTACGGCGTGACGAGCGAATGCTTTAACCACTAGGCTACCCCACCGCCCCCACAGGACATGGATACACACTAACAGTGAACTGGTACTTAAGTGAAGGGTTATAATGATAGAGAACCTGGGGTTCCTCCTGACGACTGAAGATGCACTACTGCGCGTCCTCACAGAAACGGTTACCCAGTACATACTGTCAATGTGTTGGGTTTGATGAGTACGTGCGCGATCGGAGTGCACAAGCAATTTCATCGGTAGGCGGATGACCAGTAGCTGCCTTGAGCAGACCCACAAGCTTAACAAGCATTTACATGGTAAATCGTATCTTTTACCCTGCAGTATTTCCTTACATTTCACACTCAACAATGGTGCTTGAAAGTTTATCCATAAATATATGCATTGAGATAATCCTGAGTGTTAGAAAATGGATTTTGTACCAACAAACTAAACTCATATGTATCTATGAGCTTTCAGGTGTTTTTCCAAAGGTATGAACACATTTTATTTTTTTACGGTGTAAATATCGACCTGTTCATTCCTCTTAATATGAACCCGTGAAGAACCGGGTTAGAATTGATCTTCAGTAACCCATGCTTGACGTAAGAGGCTACTAACGGGATCGGGTGGTCAGGCTTGCTGACTTGGTTGATAAATGTCATCGTACCCAAATTGCGTGGACCGATGTTCATGATGTTGATCACTGGACTGTCTGGTCCGCCGTTATATACCTGGAATATTGCTGGAGTGTGGCTTTAAACAACAAACAAACAAAATATGTGTTCAAATCCATACTATTAGACTAACTGATTCCATATTCTCAAGTCTTTCAGCGATTCATCAACATCAACTCGTATGACATCCTTTCTTGACCAGATTATTTACAGACCGCCACCATCTAGCTGGAATTTTGCTGAGAGCGGCGTAAAACTAAACTCACTCACTCACTCTTAATATGAATACCATATGTAAAACATCTCACCGGTGAAACGAACATCATGAGATTAACAAACCCGGTATTACATTTTAGCAAATTTTGACGTATTAATTGATAACTGCAAGCCAGTACCGCCACCACAAAAATGTTTAATTCAACACTCGTTTAAAAAATCACAATTGCTTCAATAATTAATTTCACTCATCAATAAATTAACGTCTCATCTATGTACACCCATTAACGTACAAGATAAGAGACTGTGTTATTGAACTGTAACCAATGTTTTCTTGAGAACCCGTTGTTATTCTTCCTGTATTCAGAAAATATACTCTCCTGTGGATTCAGCTTTTGTAATCCACCGGATCACGGTACATGCTGTGAAAATTAAAGCAGTTGATTGAAGGTTTACAGTGATGATTTTCCTCATGGCATTTACATTTGCAACGCAAAGTTAACAGTTGGCATGAATGTAAACAACACACAAGCTTTGTTTAACTAAAAGCTGCTCGTAAAAACAAACACTATTGTTGAACTTCAGGTTTATGCATTACCACGGCTTACTGACAATCAATGTGTCTGGCGCAAAACGAAGCTGCCAGATATGTTAATGTTCAAGGATTATTAGGAGATATTATTAGGTCGTGCGTCTACTTGCTACGTCACAAGACAACCATGTTTCATTAGTGAGTGAGTTAAGATTTAAAGTCACATCGGCAATATTTCAGCCAGATCGTGACTAAAGACTCAAACTAGTCCTACATTCATAATACATACAGATAATATATAAAAACCTAACAACGAATGAGAGTAAAATTGCTAGATTATCACAAAATTAGCTAAAACTAGCTAGCATACATCTTTAAAAGTAGAAAACTGTTTTGGGACAATACAGTGGGCGATTGATCGCAAACAATTGAAGGAAGATCACCACACCAGGGCCCGTCAACTGACCTGATACAATACTGTTACAAGTATCTGTGATAACTCCTTGACAATTCCTAGTTTCAGACTGAATTGTGGCAGTGAGTGAGTGAGTGAGTTTTTAAGGTCATATCGGCAATGTCTCAGCCATATCGTGACGAAAACATTTTGAAGAGTAAAACCTGTCGACGATGGACAGTAAAATTACAAGAGTGACAGAAATGAAGCCGTTATTTGACGGTGAGTGACATAAGATTTAAAGTCACATGATCATTATTTCAGCCGCGTCATAAAATCATAAAAAAACAATCATAATCATAAAAAAACAAATGCTCATACTAAATAATACAATATGAAAACGGTACATGTATATAAATCGCCAACAACTAAAGGTAGGTCACCTCACGAGGGACCATGAGGATTTACACTACTTCCTGCGGTTTTCCAGTCGAATCTAGCAGCTGGCGATTACAAGAATTCGTATCCAGTTATTAAGGTATACTACGATTAAAACTGTGGTAGGAATAAGAAACTTTGATAGATGTGGTCTTACATATCCTCTCACGGGACAATACAGTTTACACTACTTCAGCCCCTGTCAAGGATACAGCCACCAAGTTGCAATTTAAAACTACCAATAGTGAACATCAGCTATCTACACAATATCAAAGTTGATCAATAGGTTCAATTTCTTTTAAATGAGGACTAATGGGATACAAACGGTCCAAACGGATAAAAGTTGTTTAACAAACGATCATAGTTTAAAATCGATATTATTGGTTTGTATTACAAGGGGGTAAGCGTAGTAATTGGAACAGTGAAACAAATGCACGGGCGGTGCGTGATGAGCGTTAGGCTACCGTAGAAACCAACCCTTCTTGTTCTAGGGATTTCATTTAATGTGCATACCCCCTTGTAATAAAAACCAATAATAGCGATTTGAAACTATATGGTCGTTTGTTAAACAACTTTTATCCTAAGTTGAATAAAATTCTGAGATTTTTATGTTTAATTGGCAAGGTAAAGTTATGAGGATTCGCAATCTTAATTTCACTTTATTTGATTTACTTTTTTGTTTAAAGTGAAATTCATCGGTACGTTTTCACTGCAGACAGACTAAAACATAAATGTTAAGTTAGCATCATTGCTACACAGCCAACCGTGACACCAATAGAACTCAGCATGGAGAAACCAAAGAAGAACATATCAAGGTTTCTAATAATCTTCCTAGCCCTCTGAGCCTTCATGTCTTTAGGTATTTTCTCACAGTTAGGTATTTGGTCCATTGTAACTTCGGCAGGTTCATCTTTGTTTGATCTGTTGACCATTATTTCCCTTCTTAAATCCCGCTTTTCCTTGTCCTTCATAGCTTCAAAATGTATGTTCAAAATTAGGATGTTACAGATGATTGATAAGGCTCCCAGAGCAAGGTGAAGGACAACAAACAGAGCAATCATAGGGATGCTGTCTGAGTTGTTGGGGGTAATGTCACCGATGTAACTGAGGAACACTGTCAGGGATAGCATGGTGGTTACAGACATGGATACTTTCTCTCCAGACTCTGGTGGAACGATGAACACAAAACTGTTCAAAATGGATAAGATGACAGGGGGAATGATGATTTTGAGGACGTAAAACGTACTGTGGCGTTTGAGTCTAAATATAAAAGACATCATCTCCTGTGTCTCAATTTCACCCGTGGGGGTAGATGCAGACTTAGAAACAGATACGTTTGACAATATCCATTCCGAGTTCTTCGTGAAAAAGTCCATGTTAATGGAATCCTCTGTGGCCAGAAGGCTTACCCTTTTGCTGTTATACATCCATGAGCTGATATTTAAAAAACATTTCTGAGAATCAAATGGAAATGTGAAAACGTCAACTTTACAGACAGTTTTGAAAATGTTTCCAGGTGACCATTCAACTTTTCCACTAGAGTGAACCAGAACAAAATCCTCACCCGATCCCAGGATGTTGTAACCTGCGACAGAATTTTCGGTTATGATATCCGGAATCCATATCATATTTTGTTTAACATACATTTTCTCAATTCCGCCATAACTGCTGGCATTCCACGTTAATCTCGAATCCGTCCACCACAGGTCGATATACCCACTTGAGGAAAGAACTTGCTCTCTTTCTTGTAGTTCAATTATGAACATAGGGAAGAATATGACATTGATATAAACAATCTTTTCGCTTTGTGGGTCACACTTGGAGAACACTGAACGCTTTTCGATGACATCATTGATAAGTTTAATCTCATCTTCTATAGTTGCTGTCACTATAAGCTGGTACGAACAACATATGGTCATCACCATGACATGTAAAACAAGTTCGAGTTGCATTTTGAAAGGATCTTTCAATTTCTTTCTTTGCAGTGAAATCTACAAGTGATACAACTAAAAGTGATCTGCCGAGTATATTCCTCGTGGTGTAATACTCGCCAATGTCACTTTGAAACTGATCCGATAGGCAACGATGAAAATATTATGCTGTTGCCTTGACAATGTTTTGTGACATGCAGTACTTTCAGTTAAATTGTTTATCGATTGGCTTTAGGTGGAAACGACGCTGATTGTTACACAAATAAATCATCATTTACTTTGCGTCATATTGACTCCAAAGCTCTCTACTACTGTAGAAACAAGCTGTTCTGTCCGAGATGTGATGAGAAATGGACTCATCTTATATAATCACAATGTAATCGCTTTTCTTTGTAGTATCGTCATGGCCGAGGACGAAGTTCAGTAGTGGTTTTATCTATTAGAACGAAGCAGAGTTCCCAACCCACAGTGTCCCTCTATTGACCATGTCGAATGCCTTTGTCAGATAAATATGGGCAGAGTTAAAGGTTCAAATTCTGCTTGAGGCATTTCTCTTGAATCTGTCTTTCAGTAAAGATCATCAATAAGGGCGAAACCCGCATTGTCACCCTGGAAGGTTCTAATCAGGGATCAACAAAATCAGCTAGTTCAGGATGATGCATGCCAGGATCTTGCCAGCTGTTGAGAGCAGTGAGATACCCCTGTGATTCCCGCATGCAGCTCGTGAGCCCTTATTTGGTTCGGGTCGACCATTATATCATCTCTGCAGTCAGGTGGCTCTCTCCTCCTTTTTCCCAAATACAAGTCACGGAAAGTCTGCAATGCCTCTTTATCAAATGCCTTGAACATTTAAACAAAGATTCCTAATCTTCCTGAAACCTTACTGAGGTTCATCAACTTGATTGTTTTCTTGACCTCCTCAGTAGATAGAGGTTCATCTAGTTCTTCAAGAATGACTTGTTCTTTCTGGCAAGAAGGTCCTTGGTATTCATCTTTCCCACTCCATGTTTGCCAAGGACTCACTCGCAACGACTGTGGTCACAACGACACGGGCATTGAAGTCTCAAAACAAGATTAACCAGTCATTGGCAGGAACCGAGCACAGGACAGAACTGAGGTCAGCGCAAAATCACTAAGTTGCCCAATCTGTGCTGGTTAGGGTTTGAGTATGGGCACTGGTAATTGAGGCATGCCGGCCGTAACTTCATCAGCCCCTTATTGATCAATCGACATATAACTTCGTATGTGTTCTGTTTCTTTGTTTTGGAATCCAGTAAAAATCGCAAATGGCACATGGCCATTTAGAAAAGTAAAATGTTTTCAATTATGCATGTTTTATGTCAGATTTCTTCCTCATTTTATGTGTTACTATTTGATATTTTACCTATGCGAAGTCCTTTGATGAAAGAATTAGTGTTGTGATGCTTACATATCATGTTATGATATCTGAGGCCTTGACATTGGGAATATTAGCGCACTTTCCATGTCGAGCAGCCAGACTTATGAAGAGCGATTTCCCCTTGGTCGGTTGGTGCATTCTAATATTGACAACGCACTGAAAGAAAGTGTTGAAATTTTCATTAGGCTAACATACACACGTTCACTTGGATCAATTGGTGTTTGTTTAGGACAGAAATGTAAATGCTCCCTGAAAACATTATGAATCAATAGGGGAAACTGATTTTTGTCTAACATAGACACTCAAGCTTAAATCATCAGTCCCCTACAAATTCAAAAAGTTGTCTGATTTAATTGAGTCTGTTTCCAATGGAATATCAAGACATTTGTTACCTCTAGTCTGATGTAGGTTCTTACTGTTTATAGACCACCCAATCATCATAAGTTTATGTAGTGGTTTGGCGTCTTTCAAAGACAAAGAGCGCAATCTGTTTTCAGTTTGTGTATGCTAATAGTTCCTGAGGAAGAGGCTTCATATCCCACAAATAAAAATCGTAGCTGCACCGACATTACTGGGATATCGGACTCAGTACATTGACGTTGGCTGTCAGCATCTTTTATTTCATCATTACATCCGTATGTTATGGGTGAAATTATATCTGGTCGATAATGTTTCTGTCACTGATGTAACATACACAATGAACACGTATTTTAAACGGAAAAAGTCAATATCTGACAAGCATACGAAGTGCAGAGCAAATAGTTAAAATCAGGCTGTCTGTTTATACAGGAAACATAAAATGTTTGATAAAATATTTTGTTCAATGTCAAGTGGTTGTTATCAGTACCCCAAATTCAAAATTAAGTTGTTCACTTTTGATTTAAAGACGTCTCACTCATTTTCAAGTTGTAAACAAATTATTTTAACGATCTGAAGGATTTTTGCCACTCACAATAAATAATAATGTTTACTCTTCTTATTTACATATAAGAAGTAGCCTCCTTTAAATTTTGGAAAGACAGCTGCAATAAGGATAGTTTCTATCAATACGCCAACTCTGTCAGTAAATAACTATGTATGGAGCAGACAATCAATACTTGAAATCATGAACATGTATCTGTGCAAGCCGATCCGGTAAATCCCTTCTTACAAGAAGCAAGCTGCTGAAGATCCGGATCCTCTATGGCGAAAGGTAAAGAAGAAGTAGTACATGACCTCAACGTATGCAAGATATGCAAGATCATTAATTGATATAAGTTCGTTGAACGCAAAACATGTATCGATACATCATGGTAGGATCCACAGATGACTAGAACCAGGTTACATGTTCAAAGAAATGATAGACAGATGTTACTAGAATCCGATTGGGGCCTTTCATAACTCATTTCCAGGCCAAGGGAAAATAGTAGTCATCTTCAACTAGGGCTCTGTTAATTTGTGTATTCTAACAGTAAAGATTCATAAAATGCCTCTGTGAAGATCACCAATAACTGAGGAAGTGTTTGAGGCAAAATCATCATCTCTATCGACTTATGGAGGTTTCAGCACTGGAACGGTTTGACAAGTCTCACCCTGGTTGTCCCCGACATTAAGGCAACCATCACAGATATACATCTCATGCCTCGGTGGCCACTGGGAATTGGAAAGAGCTGCTGAATGATTTTTGTGACTATTGTCCTATTCAGTACCATCATGGTTTGGATATTTACTGCACAGCTACATAAGGATCGGATATGAGTTCACCTTGATGACACTGCCTCATTTCAAAAGGTTTCTGATTTTTCGGGTTCTTCTCATGTTGTGCGGTGACTTTGGTGTCAGTGAAACATGACATTTCAAAGGCAGTGAATCTGAGACTGATCAGATCAGTGCCACACTAAGTGCTACTCAGTCTGATATTGCCGATGTGAAGGCGAGACAAGATGCCATACGAGTTGATGTTGATGAATCGCTGAAAAGACTTGAGAATATGGGGTCAGTTAGTCTATGGATTTGAACACATATTTTGTTTGTTTGTTGTTTAAAGCCACACTCCAGCAATATTCCAGGTATATAGCGGCGGACCAGACATTACAGTGATCAATATCATTAGCATCGATTAAAGTAATTGTGATACGATGACATTTGTCAACCACGCAACTGAGCCTGACAACCCGATTCCGTTAGACGCCTCTTACGTCAAGCATGGGTTCCTGAAGACCAATTCTAACCCGAATCTTCACGGGTTACATCTGAAAGGAAGCAAAATCACCCTTAGTTCCCATGATCCCCAGTTATGTGGTCTAGTGTGTGTTGCTGGTGGTGTATAGATTAGTGAAAAATATATACCCTATAACCTGCTGAAACATGAGATATTTTTCGGTATTGATTTTGATTGGTTTATACCTAAAACTGTGATACCAACCTCACTGTTTTAATGTACTTTGTCAGCAGGTATTTAATAATAACTAATTTGTTCTCGTCGCCATGTCCATGGTCCCTAGTACCTAGGTCTGTACCTTCAGTTGTTGGCGATCTACGACCTGTTTTTATATACCATCGTCTTCTACAGTTAAACATGTAAAATCATTTTATAAAATTTATATCTGTGATAAATCTAGTTGTTTTACTGTCCTTCGTTAGAGGTGTTTATAATTTACTTTAATTATTGTCATGATATGGCTGAAATATTCCCAAAGTGACTTAAAATTTTAACTCACTCACTCACTCATCGCCATGTGGCTGAAATATTGCCGATGCAATGTAATATACTGGTACATGTATTACAAATCTAAACAAAAGGAAAATCGATAAGCTGGACACGACACATTTGTCTAGATTCTATACCCAACTGACAGAGATGTATTGTCTGAAGAGAAAGTGAAGGCTTCGGAAAAAGTACTGGAGCTTGTAATTATATACTCGGCGCCATTAATGAAGGGTCAAGCTATTGGTAACACTATTTCTGAAAAGTTGTAAAATCTTCGTTTCGTTTGAAATATGTATAAGTGGATGTTTTACAAACTTTCTCAACAGTATGGAAAACACATCAGGCCGTTGAAATGTCATGATTACGTTCTTTGACGTCCGATACATTCTGTTACAAATGGCACGTTTTTCGTTCAAATTGTCAATATGGATATCCACCTGCCACTTATGATTTGCACGTGCAAGTCGCTCTATCCATGGAAAGTGGAGGACAATACACATGCATTGATGCTTTTTAACTGTCTTTCACTGTTCAGTTACCTGTTTGAAATCGCTGCTTAAAATGAGACGTTTTTTGACACTTGCTGAAAGGGATCAGGCTACATGTCTTATGGAATCTGGTCAAACTCAACGGCAGGTTGCTGTCGGCTTTCCGAGTGCTATTGGTAGACTGTGGCAGAGATTTCAAATCAAAAGGACCGTGGAATATGCAAGTCGATCAGGTCGTCCCAGAGTCACAAGTCCGACTCTAACACTGCAGATTAACAGATCCCTTAACGCAGCAGATCTTCAAACAGAACTCTTCAAGGGCAGCCGGACTCCGCCATCGGAGACCTGCAGATCGTCCCAACTAACACCACGTCACAGGCAGGTGCGTTTGAGATGGGGTAGACATCATCGCCGCTGGAATCAACGTCAATGTTCTCGTGTGGATTTCACGGATGAAAGCAGATTCAATTCGTCCTTCCATGATGGTCGACAGGGGATTTATCGTCGCAATGGAG